GGAAAATGTCTGTGAAGACGATGCACTTTTAGTTCACTGCTCCTGAAAGAAAGGTATACAGCATCCCCCAGGTTTAAAAAGTTTACCCGAGACTTCCCGACAAGTATTAACAATCTTGCCCCCAAAATCCAGGGCAATGCTTTTGTGATCTCTCTTCAGTGCATAGAAAGATGGCCCCATGGGTAGTCACTATGTTACTGTGAACCAGGGCTTAGTTTAGATGCTCCTTGGGAATCAAGTTAAAATTTCTATTGTGGAAACATTCAGGTTCAGTGTAAAGCAAAATCAGCCTTCTGCTCTTATTTTCCCAGTTTGCTGTTCTCCATGGTAATATTGCACATTTTAGCACAGTCCGTCCTGATGACCTGAGGCCAATTTAATGCTGTTGGTATGTTTTCCCCTTCCTCGCTTCTCCTTTCCTCACAGGATCAGGGCTCACAGAGATTTCATACTCAGCATATAACCAGTTAGGGTCAAACCGGGCGGGAAACTGAGGAGAACCCTTGGCCATCATTCAAACACTGTAAGGGCATGGCTATTTTTGTTGCAGTGGATATGTTCTAGCTCTTTGCAGAAAGGAAAATCAGTATGGTTCTCCCTGGACCCTCAGTTCAGGCAAGGTTATGGTCATCTGCTGGATGAATATTCATTTTGCTCACTTTAAAATTTTGTTTTAATTAGAAGCTCCAAGTCCTCTGATCTAGACACCCTTGTATGATTTGGCAAGCTGACTTCCTCAAGCCACTAGAGGAATGGGACTATTTCTGGCCCAGGTCCTCCTTGCCTCAGCCCTACCTTAGCCAGTCCCATCTCTTATGCAGTGAGACCCATTATGGGATGTGACAAGTCACTTTGTTCACCGCATTCATGTCACTGCCCTGATTGACACCAACAGATAGGAGTTCACTGGAAAGCTAATTCTATTTAGGGACATAAATATAATAATAACAAAAGCTTCAAGTTCTATAAGATTATCAATTATGGTTTCAGAAACCGTAATTATAGAGAAATACCTGGTAATAGCTGTTAGATTTGGAAATGTTCACTCTACCCAAAAAGAGAAATCAGATGCATGGAAGAATCAGACCCTCTCAAAACAGAGTCCTGGCTTTAGCCCCAACAGGCAATTTGACAAATATCTTTCTCCTATTTGTCTTGTCACTTTCTTGTTTTGAGGTATGATTTACATAAAGCTATGCTCCCTTTTAAAAACCCAAGTCTTAAAAGCAGAAAAGAGAAGTCAAATTTGGGAACTAGAAATCAAGAAGTACTATTTTCACACCAAGGAGAAAGAATAGTTTAATAGATCAATACTTTTTAATTTAGCCCTGGTTGGTGTAGCTCAGTGGATTGAGCGCAGGCCTGCGAACCAAACAACTGCGATTCGATTCCCAGTCAGGGCACATGCCTGGGTTGCAGGCCAGTTCCCCAGTGGGGGCCACGTGAGAGGCAACCACGCATTCATGTCTCTCTCTTTTTCTTCCTCCCTTCCTTCTCTCTAAAAATAAATAAATAAAATCTTTTAAAAAAGATTTAAATAAATATAGATAGTTCAACTTCTTAAGTGATGGTTGCTTCACACACACACATACACACACACACACCCCTCCCCATCAGCTTCAGCCCTTCAGACCTCTTCCTGGGTTTCAGCTCCAGGCCACACCAGAGATGCTTATTTTTTATATTATGTGACTTCAATTAGATGTCATTCTGTTCAATGACATATCATAATAGCTAACAATTGTTACACAGAAGAGAGTTGAATAGATCTTTTTCATTTGAAATGAGAAAAACACACATCTCTTTATATAGAAGTATAAGAAAAAATGTTTGGCTTTATTAGTAAGTAAATCCTGTTCTTGTAGCACCTTTTTAGTCAACTAGAGGATTTGTTTTCTTTCAGCATAGTTGCATATATAAATGCTCTGTATATTTTGAGTGGTGTTTAAAAATGATAGTAGCTAACATTCATTGAGAATTTACTACGTGCCAGGAATTTTCTATGGACACTGTATTAATTCATTTGATCCTCTCAAAAACATCCGTCATAAAATAAGAAAACTGAGAAGTGAAAGATCTTCCCCAAGCCAGGACAGAAACGCAGGCAGCCTCGCTCCACTGCCGCGAGCTTAGGTACTGCACTGTTCTGCCCTCTCATTACACCTTTTTAATCCTGTGTGGTAGTGGCAAACATGCGCGCACAGCATCACTGCTGCGCTAACGTGCCTGAGACCCAATGTGCGCTCTCAGATCAGTGCCGCGGGAACCCAGACTGTCGTCACAGTGACCAAATGACTTCATCACTAACCCAGGGCCTTTGAGAACTGAGAGGAAATACAGAGCTCTTTGGGGATCTTATCTGATTCTTTCTAATTTTTGTCGACTAAAGTAGCCCCCCAACTAAAATTTTCTTCCCCATTGTAGACACACAATTTTATTCGCCTTATTCAGCTGACTGAACCAACATTCCTAATATTTCCAATACGAAACCAAGACGCTACAAACACGTAACTGACTTCTGCTTCTAGCTTGTCCTTCCTGCTGTAACGAGAGAAATCTTCTTTTCATCCCGGCCTATTTATGTCGCTCCCCTGCAGTGGGCCGTCGGCGGCTCCGCTGCCGGGTCGGTGGTTTTGACTCATGCAGCAGAAGACTGCACGACTCTGTGAATATACTAAAGCCATCGAACTGTACGCTTTAAACGGGTTCATTGTATGGCATGTAAGTTATGTCTCAGTGAAGCTGCTATTTAGGGAAAGTTACAGAGGAGTCAAAGCACCTGGAAGTCATGGTGTGCCACGTATAATATCCTGAAATGTTGGCCCCAAAGCAATTTTTCTAGCAGAAAATAAGACTACGATCTACACCAGTTTATTTACAAGATTAAAATTCACTACAACTATTTTAAAAGAAGCAAGTGGTTGAGCTACAGTAATCAACAGTTTCTAATGTTTGCCTTTAATATTAAAGTGCCATTTGTTATTTTATTGCTTACTACTGTTTTCTAGGAAACAAGCATTAACATCAAAGACAAGAAAGGTTGAAAGGGAAAGTTTAAAATCAAGTACATTCTATATAACACTTTGATGTATTTTTGTCCTCACATGGAGACTTTGGCAAAACATCTGTATCTGGAATAACACTAACGCTGTCTGAAGGAGCTTTCACAGTGCCTGGCACCCTAGAAAATGCCATATCATAGCTAACATAGCATAAAATACTTTTTTTTCAACCTGGACTTAAGTTACCTTTCTATCTTCATCTCTTTCCACACCACCTCCCTGTATCACAAAGCACTGGCCACACATCCCTCACAACCATAAGTGGCTAAGTATTGTGCAAACACATCCTGCAGCTTTGCTCCCGCTCCTTCCGGAATATTCCCTCCTCCGTTCTCTACTTGGCCCTTTGGCCCATCTAACTTCCATGTTGCCTTCTTGACTCCCCCCATCTAGGAAAAGTGCCATGAGAGCAGGAAACACGTGCACCTTACTGAATGCTGTAGTTCCAGCAAAAACATAGACCCTGATACACAGAAAGTGCTCCACGAACATCCCCTTCTTTGTATCCTCATGCAGTCCCGATGCACACCCGATGCACACGTCTGCCCACTTACCTCATTGTTCGGGAATTGGTTTCCAGTGACTCCACCCTCACACCCTGTCTTTATCACATAGCAGATGATCCATAAATACCTAGTTAATTTAGATGAGTTGAAAACACATTCTCTAATCTCCAGATGTTTAAAGTCTTAAGGAAAACAATCAAACATTCTAGCAATTTACTAGAATACTATTTGGCAAAACTGTAGGTGGATGTGGGTACAGTGTTGTGAGAATTCTGATGCAGGAGAAATCCCTCTTCTGATCTGTAGGTCTCTACCCTGGAATCTTCTGACTTGAACTGTTCTGGGGACATTTGAACTGCCCCCTGAAAAGAGAAGAGGAATTTCACCAGGAAAACAACAAAAGGGATTCTAAGCTAAAGGAATTCAGCAGCAACACAGAAACAGAGGGTGGGCTGGTGTGGCTTCAGTGGATGGTTCTTGGCAGGGATTGGCTGGCAGGCGGCTAGAAGAATGCGCTGGGCCTGGCAGCTCTCCTGGCCGGAATCTTACAACCTGAGCGAGAGGGTGACTTGATCAGGTGTTTTAGGTCTGTTTTAACTGTGCTCACATCCTCTTCTGCCCTGCCTCCTCCCAGCACACATGTAGACCATGTAACAGAGTCGACCAGAGTCACAGTTACGACATGTGGACAAAGGCCAGAGCGACCTGAGTGCTCATGTGAACCCACTTGAAACCGGGAACTGTGTCCTGACCATGGAGCAATCAGCCAACACCAGTGCTATGCAAATCACGCACTGAAGCAGAAGTGAAGAATGTGGTAGAACTACCAAAGCTGGTTTCCTTGGACAGCCCGCATCATTCGCTAAGACTCCTGGCCTCAGTACAGCCCTCCCTGATCTTCCCAGTCCAAAGGAAACTCTCTTCTGAAATACTCAGGAGTGCTTCGTTTTGTACTTATGACACTTTGACATTTTTTTTTCTTGCATTATGGTTATTTTGTGCTCATTCCTGGTACCACCTTTTTTCTCTTTGCCTAATTTTAAAAGCCTACGTATAATATAGTGCAGCTTTAAAAGATACCTTGGGAGCAAGATAGGGTATAAATCACTCAACAACAAATCCTGCTAGGTTTTAAGTTTCAAGAAGAAAGAGGGCATGTCCCACTCACCTATATAAACCCTACAGCATTAAGCAAAACATGTTGGTTGAATAAATTGATGCAGTGCCAAAAGTATGGTAAAGGAAAAACATTCTTTGCCTTTTAAAGTTGATATTTTAAACGTATTTGCATAGATGTTTATCTTTTATTCTTTTAAATCTTCATCTCTCCTAACCACGGCTCCACTGTCTGGGAATGTTTCCCTTATTTCTTGATTTGATTTGCCAAATTTTCATCCCTTGCATAGGCCTCTTTGGAAAAAAATAACACTTAGATTTCTTTATTATGCCTATTTTAATGTTTTTTTCATAGAACAGAGATATGTTTATTTCAGCAAAGTTATAAAGTAAAACTAAAAACAAAAAATACTTGACATTCACTGAGACAGTTTTGTAAAGAAGAAAGTTAAGAGTAATCAGCATAAAAACAATAAGTTATAAAGATTTGCTGACACTTAAGTGGGGAGGGGAGATAATCAGAAGAAATACAAAAACACTTTTGAAAGACATCATCATTGCCACAGCACATGAAAACATTTCCATAAAAATTTCACAAACCCCACTCAGATATTTCACTTTTCACCCTCTTTGAATTTACAGTCTGAAATCTTGACATTTACAGTCTGAAATTTTGACGTTCTTGTTTCATAGGCCCACAGAGTTTGGCCCCAGCCCCATCACAAGCAATTAAGAGGAGCCCTTCCTGTTAGAGACACAGCACTTTGGGCTAATATTTAATCTTAATTGGCAACAAGTTTAGTGCAAATAAAATTACATTTAGCAGCTTAAAGAACTCCTGGCGGGGAGGCCTTTATCCCTTTATCCTCACTGCCGCCCCGAAGGGAAATCATTTCTCTCCTTTGGTGAGCATGGAGTGTTGGCCATTCCAACCTACTGAAGACAACTCACGCGGACCCGCTGTTTGTGACACAGGCAGTTTCTGTGAAAGCTGGTTTCAGTCACCAGGCAAGGGTGCCAACAGTGTTTACATTTGGGAAGTTTACCTTAGGTTGATTTAAGGCCTGAACACCAGTCATAACTGGATCCCACCCAATAGCTTTTCCGATTGTGGAGAAGAGACCCAAAGGAGGCACTAATAATTTCATGCCTTAGCCTCCAGTAGGTTGTGTCTAAAGGAAGACCAGGACAGAGCTGAGGAATCTCTCTCTCTTTTTTTTTAAAGATTTTATTTATTATCTTCAGAGGGGAAGGGAAAGAAAGAGGGAGAGAAATATCAATGTATGGTTGCCTCTCGTGCTTCCCCTGCTGGGAACTGGCCTGCAACCCAGTCATGTGCCCTGACTGGGAATCGAACTGCAGTTGTTTGGTTTGCAGGCCCACGCTCAATTCACTGAGCCATACGAGCCAGGGGGAATCCCTTAAATGAAATTTGGCTCTCAGGTAATAAGTTCACTTCACTGATTTGAGTAGGAAAAAGGGGAGAGAGAAAGGAAGGAAGGGGAAAAGAAATAAAAGAATGAAAGAAGAAAAAGATTTTAAAAGAATGAAAAAAAGAAGAGGAGCCATCTGATTTCAAATCTGGTGCTTTCCACTCTCAGCCAAATTATTCTCCAAATGAACAGACGCCAGAATGCTACCAGCCAGAGGATTTTGTCTGAGCTTTGTCAATTCCTCGAAGTGCCTCCCTTCTTGTTAGACATCTGTTCCCTCTCTGGCCAAGCAAGGCCCGGTACTGCTGCTTCAGAAAACAATGCGCCTCGCTGTGCCCAGATCCCCAGGTGCAAGGGAAGAGGAAGAGCACATGCGGTTTCGCTGGCCCAAGTGCTTGAGCTGTCAGAAAGCTTGAATGATCCCTGAGATCCACGATGTGCTGACAAAAAATCCAGGTAAACACTAGGTAGGCTGTCTCACTCGATCTCCCTCTCGCTACCAACTCCTTGGCAATTTTTCTGTTCCCCCTGAATTCTCTCACTGAGTGGCTCAAGGATGGGGGTGAGGTGGCTGCATGTTGGAGAGGGGGGCCCACCTTAGTCACTGTACTCTTCTCTTTCCCTCCAAGTGGGGAGTTTCTCATACTGGTTGGCCAATTTCCATTTGTTGTGCTGACTTTTGAGTAATGCAGCCAAGGAAGTCTTTCGGGTGATATTTTTAGTTATATCCCGGCCCTTGGCCTTCCTGGTAGGGGAAGAGCTTCGGACTAAGGGAGAGACAGGAAATATAGGCTTGCCCCGAGGGGCTCCCAGGAGCTGCCATATTTCTCCAGAGGTATTACTAGACAGATACTGCCACGGCTTCTTCCCACTGCTGTCCCGGACATTGACCCTAGAAGCCAACCTTTGCACTAGCAATTTCATGACTCCCTGGTGGCCATGAATAGCCGCAAGGTGCAGAGGGGTATACCCACAACTGGACTTCACATTTACATCAAGGGCAATTCCTGCTTTCTGGGTGCCTGAGACCAAGTCCTGAAGGGCTCTGAGGTTGCCATGTTTGGCTATCCAGTGCAAAGCAGTGTACCCAGTCAAGAAGTCCTTGTGCAGAGCCAGCTGGGGATCCGCCCAGAACAAGGCCAACACCTGAATCCAAGAGCCAGTGGCAAGCTTTACAATCCATTCATGCTCCCTGGCATCTAGAGGGACCAGACACGACTTGTGCTCAGAAGGCCTGTGCAGGACCAAGGCTGCAGGCTCCTGCCTACCTGGGGCCCACAAGCTGTGTAGCTGACCCTTCTCCACAACAGCCGCCTTAATGTCATTGGATTTGGGTATCAAAGCAGCATCCACCCTGGGGCTGGACGCTGCCGCTCCTGCCTTGGAGGGTTTCCTGGGCCTGGGCGGGCGCCGACTCCTTTTCAGCAAGTCCTCCTCAAGACATTCCTCATCGGAGGAGGAGGATTTGGCTCTTCTGGCCTGAGAGCTCCTCCTGAGCGATCTCCTTAACCTGGGAGCTGGCCAGGACAAAGTGTCCTGTGAGTGGCCTACAAGACCATTAGCCCCTGTTGAGACCTGCCCAGAGGCAGGCCCATCCTCTCTGTTCCTGAGGCCCTGAGGGCTCCTTCTGGAGCTGACCTCCTTTGGAGAAAGGCAGACAGATGAATTCTTGAGCTTTCTCCCATCTGGGGTTCCCAGGGCACCGTGCAAGCCCTCTTCAGAACCCCCAGGGGACTCTTTGGGTCCACTGCTGCTCTCCTCACTGCTGTGGTTCTCCTGGTCCACAAAGTCATCCAGCTCTTGGAGGGACAGCTGACAACGAATGCTCCGAAAGACTGTCAGTGGGGGGTTCCCGGGCCAGGGTTCCGGAACAACCGGAGAGTGAGAATGGGTGGACGGAGAGGGGTCCAAAGGCGCCGGCTTAGGTTCCGGGACCCAGAATCCCGGCTCCGAGGGGAAGTTGTCTGGCAACACTGACCAGGCTCGGATGGGGCCCTGCTCCTGGGCCTCGGGGAGATGAGGATGTCTGGCCACCCATTCTCGAGTGCGTTGCTGCTGCTGCTGTTGCTGCTGCTGCTGCGCGGAATAATGCAGATCGCCCGGGGTCCACAGCCCCGGAGGAGGAGGGCTGGACGAGGCGGCGGGCTGGGAAGCCCCGCTCCCAGTAGCCTCGACGGTTGGAGGAGGAGAGGGGGGCCCTGCGGACACCAGCGCGGGCTCAGGGGGAGCGCCTTCCCGCTGCTGCCTGGGAGCCCCGCGCTCGTCCTGGACAGCCGGAGCCCGCGCCGTCTCCTCCCCAGCGGTGGCGGGGTCCGGGAGTGCGCCGGGCAGCGGCGGCGGCCGGGGGAGCTCCCCCGGGCCGTTCTGGAGACTTTCCCGGGAGCAGCGGACCCGCGTCTCCACCGCCGCGCCTTTCGCACCGACCTGGGCAGCTGCCGCCGCAGCTGCGGACACCTGGGCCCTGTGACGGGAGCCGCGTCTCGGCCCCGCGCCGCCGGCGGGGAGTCCATTGCAACCTGGGTCGGCCGCTGGGGCTGCTGCACCTGCCGGCTCCTCCTCTCGCTCCTTTTCGCTCCGCCGCCGCCTGGGATGCGGCGGCGGCGGCTCCTCTCGGCGCTCGCCGGGCGGGGAGCGGGGCGCAGCTCCACCTGCAGGGGCGGCGGCCGCGGGGAGGTCGCTGGGTCGCTGCAGCCCCTCCTCCCCCAAAAGGTCCCTGTACTTCTTCTTCAGCACCACGTACTTGGTGCCGTCGGGGTCCTGGCGCACTGTGGCGACCGAGTTGACGAAGCCCTTGAAGAGCTCGCGGCGGCGCTGGTGCAGGCGCGGGGAGGCGTCCGGGTCCCGGAGGAAGCCCCTGAAGTGGCTCACGAGGGCGGCGTTGGCCACGCGGCCGCCCGCCTGGCACAGAAAGTCCAGCAGTGCCTCCTGGCTCAACTCCCGGGCCATCGCCGCATCGCCGTGTCCCGGTCCCAGGGCGTCTGAGTCTCGCCTTCCCCGCGCTCTCCCGGGCCGGCCGCAACCTGGGCCTGGCGAGTGTCACCTGCACCCGGGGCGGCGCCACCCGCCTCCATCGGCCGCGGCGGCAGGCGCGGCTCGCGGCCCCCGAGCGCGCCCAGCGGGCGGCGGGTCCCGAGGGGAGAAGCGCGCGGGCTGAGCCCCGACACGCAGCCCCAGGCGGGGGGACAGGGCGGCTCCCCGGCCGCCCCTGCGCGACACCGGCCTCTCGCTGGGAGCCGCGGCGCCGAAAGTTCCCGGGATAGGTCGGAGTCGGTTTCACCTGCGCCCTGGCAACGCCCCCGCGGATTCCCGGGCGCAGGTCCGGCCCGCCCACTCCGGCCCCTCCGCCCGCGCGGCCGCCGCCACCCGAGCCGCCCATCCCGCTGAGTCAGGCCGGACGGGCGAGGTCGCGAGCCGCCGCCGCCCGACCCGGGAACGGGAAGGCAGGTAAGCGAGCGGCCGCTCCTGTGGGTCTCGGCCACGTAGGAAACAAAAGCAGCGGAAGATCCGTTCCTGCCTCCTCCTCGAGCTGCAGAAGTAATGGCTGAAGCGAATGGCTGGGGAAAAGGGTGCATATTAACCAGCGTTCGGCGATCGCCCTGAAAGGCGCCTTTCTCTATCAGTGCTGTGGGGTAGTCATTTCAGGTCGCCCGAGCTCGGGGGAAACACCCTCTGCACCCCGGACAGGCCTCTCGTGGTCAGGGGCTCCTGCCCGGGTACCGGCAACAAGGGGTCCAAATACAATGAAGTCTGTAGTGAAAAGAAAGGCCACTGTGAAGGTTACAGGTTGGTCTCGGCCTTTCCTTTTGCTTTCTGATTGTCTCGCGTTAAGGTGCAGGAAAAATCAGTTTGATCACTGATTGCCCCAGCAGCTACAATGACCAGTAATTATGCCTTCACTGTTAAGGTATTTGATGCCCAGTGTTACTCTGCTTTGGTTTACTCTAAAATTTGTGAGCCAAAGGGATTTTTGTGCAGTCTCTTTTGTGTTGGCTTAAGTGAAGTTGTCTTTTCTCGCTAAATGTAAGTTTCCCCCCTCACATCCCAAACGTGAGGTGTGTTACAGACTGGCCTGTTCGACCCACTGCTCCCAACATCAGAATGTCCCTACACTCTAACCCTCCATCCAGAGGCTGTGGCTTTCCAATTCCAGTCCATTTGAAGCTGGACCTGTCTTCGTCACTGGCCTCTTCAAGGCCGGAGAATCACAGCACTTTTCCTTGCAGCTGCTTTCTCCCTTCATTCTGTCCATAGGTTGGTCCTGCCCCTGTCTCCTTGAGGTCCTCAAGCGGAGAGATCTGATTTACATTCCCAAGAAACTTTCATTGTTTGATGGACTCACCTCTGGCTCCATGCCCTCCTCCAATTCTTTTCTGAGCTGTCTTCCCATTTCTTTCCACTGTGATGTCCTTGTTACCCTCAGCCCCAAATGTGAAGACAAGCCTCTTCCTTGAAATCCTGTCCCCTATACCTATAACCAGCGATGGAGTCTGTTTTCTCCTGCTGTCATTTGCCACTCTGCTTTCCTATACGCCCCTCATCTTTTAAATTTCCTTCTTTTCTCTGTCGTTTCTGATTGTGTTGAGTCCTTGTCTTTTTTTTTTTTTTTTTTTGCAAAGGGAAGGTATTGGAAGTAAGTTGGCCCCACCATTTCAACATGTTTTAACATAAATCAGTCCTAGTGATGGCCACATAGGCCACAAGCTAAAATTTATTTTAAGTCTCCAACAGTAACCTGGTACTTTTCTGTGAATGACTTGGAATCTTTGGCTTTGTTATCTGGGCCAGAAAGGAAAGGTGGGAGACATATTTGTCTATTTTTGGCATTTTCTAGATCTAAAACCAGCACCAGGTTGAGAGGGGGGTAATGGTTTCCACTCAGGTAGAACATTGGCTTCAAGCTTTTAGGAAGGTTATTAAAATAAAGGTTTTGTGTTAAACTTCAGCTTCCTTTTGTGTTTATTTCCTTGTGTTGCATCTATGTGGGGCTGAGAGGTGTGTCCACACCAAGGGCGGAAAGGGGTTCAAATGGGAAATCCAGGTAGACGATTTAGGGTGGCAAGTGGAAAGAACCGCCCCCTTTGGTACTTTTCAAAATTTTTGGTTAAAAAACAGGGTTTTGTGGCAAGAGGATTTAAAACTTAAAAGACTAGGGAGAAAGGAAGGGTCAGCAAGGACGCGGTTGTTGAAATGAGATTATCTTTAGCCGATGGCGAAATTAGCAGGTCTGGGCAGAAAGGAGGGGAAGAAAGAAAAACATGAAATGGAGAAAAAAGAAAAAGTGCAATTGCTTTTGATTTCTGGGTGCCCATGTGGTTTAGCCTCCAGACCCGCCCTCCTGCATTTTCTCTCTTGATTGAGAAGATGGCTAATACAATGCTTTTACCTCATCTCAGGGAGCATTTTACACCTCCCTTAAGTACTGTTCACTGGTCCCTAAAATATTTATGGACTATCCACGTTGCCCTGGCACTACCAAAAATGGATATAAAGAAGAAAAGATACTCGAGAACTCACTATTTATTGTGAGCAGCTATTGAGAGAAATGGCCCAAACCTGTGTTGGTAACTTAATAAGTTACCAGCATCTGGTGCAGCACCAGATGCACACCAGGTGCTGGAGGAGCTGAGGGGTGATGTGTAAAGGAAGAACTGTGGCTCAGCTTAGGGGGTCAAGATAATTTCTCAATAGGAGACAACTTTGAGTAGAAGAGGTGAGGAAGAGGCAGAGGGAACAGCGGTGCAAACGCACAGAGGTCTGGCCCAGCACAGTGTGTCTGGGGAACTAATGCAATGTGTCTACTTGGCTTTACAGAGGAGGATGTGTGTGGATGTGCTGGAAGGGAGACTTCGGAATGGGAGGAAGTCGGACGGTAAAGAAGGGGAGGAGCCAGCAGAGGAGCCTCTGAAGAATTTCTGGGAGGGCAGTGACCTGCCCAGACTCATACTTTAGAAAGATCATCCTGGAAGTTTGTGCTGGTTTGGAATCATGACCCATGTTAATGAGTTTAAAAAGCACATTGTAGAAAAACAGTGTATTTAACCAAATCTAAGACATCATTGATTGTATGGTGCATATGGGTTTCAGAGATGATAAAAAGTAAAAGAAAATAGATGCCTTTTAAAAGTAGAAGAAATACAGCATGTTAAGTAAGACCCTATATTTAGGGGGAAAATGTGTGTGTGTGTGTGTGTGTGTGTGTGTAAGAGAGAGGTCACAGAGAGAGATTTGAGGACTGGATCAGGGTGACTTTAATCTTTTTTTATAGCCTTATAAACTCGTTGGCTATTTTACAATGAGGGCATACTACTTTTTTAGCTTGAAAAAGATACTAAAGAAAAATAAAAGATGTAAAAGAATAACAATGACAAAAACCACTATCAGATCTTTAGGCTGGGTGAGTGAGATGAAGCTGTTCTCAAGGAGAACAGTCCAAAAATTACTGAGAGTGTTCAGAAAAGAGGTGCAAAGGTATGAGTTCAGCATTGTCAGAGGAAGGGAGAGGAGCAGATCGGAGAGACACTTAGTGATTCAACAGGGTTTGGAGCCAGAGGAGCCTCATGGTGAGGGACAAGCTTGGCTTTCCTGCTGTGTCTAACCTGAGCTGCCGCGCGGATGATGGTTACCAGCTACATTTGTAGAAAATATAAACAAAAGAGTCCGTTTCGGAAATGGGAAAGGTGATACATTCAGTTTGGGGCACATTAAGTTTGAGGAGCCTATAGGCCACCAAAACAGGCATATCTAAAAGGCCATATAGGTTTGAGACTCCAAGAATGTATGACATTAGCATATATAAATGGCCCTTTAAGCCACAGGCAATGATAAAATTGCTTAGAAAGAGATACACAGGCAGTGGCAAGGGAAGGGGGTGGAGGGTGAATCCACTTTTACCAAAGAGAAAGAGGAAAAGAAACTTGTTATGGAGACTTGGGAGCAGCTGGAGGGAAAGAGGAACCCCACGGAGCAGAGCCTCACAGAACAGAGGCAGGAGGAGGAGCAGCTTTCTAGAAAGGATACCAAGTTAGATAAGAAGTGAAATATGACCATAGCCTGTTGGGTCACTGAGGCCTGGTCTGGAAGAGTTTCAGAAGGGGGGTGAGGCCCCAAGTCAGGTTGCAGAAGGATGAGGAGTGACTAGGATTAGAGTAGGTTGAGAAAGACTTAACTGTGAAAGGAAAGAGAAAAGAGGATTCTAGATAGGGGAATACCGGATCCTGTCACCCCAGATTTATTTATTATTTGGTAGTTGTTACAAGAGATATGATCACGGGGATGTGCTGAGGAAAGAAAGCCAGGAAAAGATACGTTGACGACCTAGAGGAGAGAGTAAATAATTAATGAAACAGGGCTTGGGGGTGGGGCTGAAGTCCAGAGTTCAGTTCTCTGGGACAGGACAGGGGAGAGCTACTTTTTCCCCATTGAGAACAGAAAGAAGAGAAAGGGCTATTGCATGAATTAGAGGGCTAAGAGACTGGGAGACAAGGCTTGAGGATGTCTTGTTGGGGGTGAAAAGCAGGTCGATGAGAGTAAGGGGATATAGAACAGTAAGGTAGATATTGTGAGCAGAACATCAAATATTCTTAAGTCTTGGGGCTTAAGGTCTCTGAAGTGGAATAGTTTGAAGATGATGACAAGATTCAGAGTGTGACCACATGGATGAAGCATTGGCAAAGTGAGAAGAAGCATTGGAGGTGATAACATCATGGAACTGAGAGGGGTGTTGAGCTTGCACAGGGAAACTGAAGTCATCTAGGATGGAGAGGACACCAAGGATCACGTGTGGGAATCCTTAGTATTTTGGCACAAGTAATATAGGTGGCATTTTGCCAGGAGTACTTGCTCTGCTCCTTATCAACAGACGCACTCAGCAAACAGTGTAATACAATGACTTAAACACATGTGTCAAATTCCAGATCACTCTCCTCTATCTGATTCTCGGGTCAAGTATGCAAAGTGTGTAGAACAGAGATCAGTACCTTGTAGGAAGTAGCTGTCCTTCCTATTAATATGTATGTACTTCTCGTAAGATGTATTTTGATGTGCTTATTCTTTGCTTTCAGTCCAAGCTTCTACTGTGAATGTAGAGTGACATCTTGACCCAGGAAGGTGACCTGCCCATTGTCGATCATTCAGGTAGGTGGTGGACCAAAGAAAGGCAGGAGAGAAAATGTGGGCATTCACCCACCCTCTGTCTTTCTTTCCCTCTCTCTCTTTCTATCCTCTTCTCCTTCTTTTCCCCCTATCCCCCCTCTCTCCTTCACCCCCCCTTCTCTGGATTTCCACAAGTCTGGGTACTCCTCAGGGCACTCTGAAGTAACAAGGGGAAGGCATTCTCTGGTGAAGTTGACAGCTCTAATTTATAAACCAGATAATCTAGTGATAGAGGACTCTCTATAATTCCCTTCTCCTGTTCTAAGCCAGTCTTCCCTCCTTCCTTCCTTCCTTCCTTCCTTCCTTCCTTCCTTCCTTCCTTCCTTCCTTCCTTCCTTCCTTTTTTTTCTTTCTTTCTCCATCAGTATTTATGGAGTGCCTACCATGTGTACACACTTTTCTGGGACTGAATACACAGTGGTTAAACCAAACAAACAAAATAGTTTTCTTTCAGGAAACTTACATTCCAGTAGGGGAGGAACAGATAATAAACATAAAGGTAAAAAAGAAAATATTAGCAGATAAGTGATGAGATACAGAATTTAGCTGTTATGGTAGAGACTGACTAGGGAGCTACTCTAGCGAGCATGGGCAGAGAAGGCCTCTCTCAGAAGACAGCAATAAGCAGACACCTCAGCGGTAAGGAGGAGACAGCCATGTGAAGATGGAGAAGATGGGGAAAGCCACTCCAGAGAGAATCCGTAATGTTCCATCAGAAATGAGCATGATGTGTTGAAGGAACAGAAAGAAATCCAGGGACTAAGCTGGAGCATACTGTGAGAGAGAGAGAGGGGGAGAGGAGTTGGCACGAGAAGTCAAACCTGTGAGAAGGGTCTGGATATTGTAAAGTCTGTTGGGATTTGGGTTTTAGTCTAAGTGTGATGAGAAGCTTATTGGACGTTTACAATCAAGAGAGTAATGTGATTTATGTATTAAACAGATCTGTGGCTGTTGTGAGAACAAATTAAAGGGGATGCTATCAAGTAGAAGCAGAAAATCCAGTTGGGAGACTATTACGAAGTGCCGGTGAGAGATGATGGCAGCTTGAAATTGCAAGGTATTAGGTGTAGAGAGGGACTGAGGTTTGGGAAATGTCCTGGAGATAGAACCTAGAGAAGTGTGGTGGGTTGGATGTGCATTTACTACGATGGGGGATGTGGAGGCGAGACCTACTCTGTGGCCAGGAAGTCAAGCATTCGCTTTGGGAAAGGTAAAGTTGAGGGTGACCATTAGCAATGATCTAGAGCAGGCAGGAGCTCAGGGGTAAAGTCAAGGCTGGAGATACACTTTTGAGAGTTTTAGGGAATGTAGAAAGAAAAGAAAAAAGGCTCATGACCAGCCCCAAGATTAGAGGTCCAACCTTTAGCAGTATCTCACTTAAATAATGTAACTTGTCTCAGCTGGGCTATGGCAATGGGAGGAATCGGAAAATCCATGTTTGTCCCCCTAAGGCCAGTCTGCTGATTGTGGCTGCAGCAGACAGTCATGTGAGAGACACCGGGGTTCGTTCCAGGGTCTGGAGTAAGGTCCGCCTATGCCCTCCTACACACAAAGTCTCCCTCCATTGCCAACTTTACCAGGTATGGGTTTAAATTTGTTAAACAAGTCAGCAGATTTCTCCATGTATACCCTGGTTTTACAAATAGGAAAACCCAGTCTCAGAGCTTAGTGTCTTTTGGAATCTGTGCTCGAATTAAATTGACCTAAATCTAGCGTTTCATACTGGAGCCATTGTCTTTCCTCAGCTCTCTGGAGTGTTTGACCCAGTTGACCATTTTCTCCACTTGAAGAGTCTGTCTTGGCTTCCACAACCACTGGTCTTTTTCCCAGTTCTTCTATCTCCCCGATCCAACTCTGAGCCTCTCTTGCTAACAAACTCTTCTTTCCACATCCTTTACTTGTTCTCTGGATTCTACCTGAGTCACATTGTCCCTTCCCAGATCCAATTATCACCTGTGTTATAGTGATGCCTAAATCTCTATGCAAAGCCCCCCTAGAAAATGCACTAAGTTTCAAGCAGGCTAGTTTTGGCTCCCCCCCTAACTAGCTCTTTCAACTTGGTCAGTCTGCAAACTTTCTTCCTTCTTTTTTATAACCTGAAGCAGCAGAGGCAGGCTTCTCACCCAGACAGTGTTCGTCAGGGGTGAGCATCAGTTTAGTCGCTGCTCTGTTCTTCCTGTTGCCCTTTGAAGATCCTGACCCCTGGGCTGCTTTCTCACCTTAGCCCCAGTCACTTCTTCCTCTGGGTTTACTGCCATTGCCTCTCTCCCCTGAACCTTCAACCTCTTTCTCTCTTCACCCCCAAGTGCTGAGCCAAAATGAACAAACACAAGGACTTTGCTTTGAACCTGCCCTCTTTCATTCACTGCCTTAGCTCATCCTCATCATTCCTGCATTGTCATCTCAGCCCACAGACCATTCCTGACTCCGTTCATTCAATCAACGTCTCGCCTCCAGACACTTCTATCTGGGGAAAGTTAAGTTTAAAATGCCTGTTACAACAATTAAAATTAAAACATTGAAAAAAAGATGTCCATTAGACATTTCAGTAGAAATTGCAAGTGGAAAACTGGGTATACAATTCTGGAGCTGAACTGTCACAGTACCTAAGAGTCCACTATTAAATTTAACTTACGTATTTGTCTCTGTGTGTGGCCCCTCAACCAGAACACAGACTCCGCGAGGGCCAGGCCCGGGTCCTGATCACCAGCAGCAGAGTTAGTTGTGAGAGGCCGGAATAACAAAGTGTGTCGGTGTCCTGGGGCTGCTGTACTGCATTATTTCACCCTGGGTGGCTTTAAATAACAAATTTATTCTCTCACCATTCAGGAGGCTAAACATTGGAAATCAAGGTGTTGCCTTGATTGCTATAACTTAGATAAAGACCTCTGGGTGGTTGCCTCTTGCACACTCCCCGACCAGGGCGTGTGCCCTGACCGGGAATTGAACTGATGACCTTTCCCTTTGCTGGACAATGCCCAACCGAGCTACACTGGCTAGGGCTCCATTCTTTTTTAAAAACTACATAATTTTACCATGTTCATGATTAGCAGTACCTTTAGAATTACTTATTTTTTCCTAATAATTTCTATTTATGTTTGTGTTTACAATGTACATTAGTATAGGGGCACATGCAAATAATGTTAAATAAATGCCCTGGGCTGCATGTCACTCCCTAAGCCTGTTCCACTTTTTTCTACAACGTTGTGCTTTTGTTAGTCATTTTCCTAACCTGCTTTCTTCTTTCTCTGTTTGGCAGAATCCTAATGATTGTTCAAGCCTTGCTCACATCCAGAGGCACAAATCATAAGTCACTGTCTCTTCCTTTAGGACACAACCTCATCATGGTGCATCTCACCTTGGGTCCCACTTGTCTTGGTGGCATCTCCCCTGAGGGACTGACCGAGATTCCAGAGGGTAAGGATCCCTCTTAGTCATCACTTTGTCCCTGATGGCCTGCAGTTGCAAGCAGTGGGTCCCGCAAGTGTTAAATGACTTCAATCATCTCACCACATCCACTGTTCTAAATTTCGAACCAATATGAGAATTATGAAACAATATGAGATACAAAGGGACAAGAGACAGAGGGCTATGGATTTAAAGCACGAGGCTTAATTTCACAAGCAGCATCTTCTAAGATATGGTATGGCCTGTAGGTCCTCCTGTATTTAACAAACGCACATCTTCCTTCATTGCATGGGAAGGCTGTATAATTCCACAGAGTTTCATTTCTGCATGCAGCTAAGGGCATGTAGTCATTTCCCGAATGCATTGTTAAAAGTTAACATTTATAAGCTGCAATTGGCGTATATCTAACGAGTGCTGAGGGTTTTGATTCAGCACGCTGCTAAAAAGTCGGGCAGACGCAAAAGTGCTCTGCGTGTGCGGATGACTGGGTTTCTCTCACATTTCAAGAGGCCAGTTTCTTATCGTGCGTCATCACTATTATAATGAGGTACAGGGGTTCTGATGACTATTTACTTATTAATTGTGTCTTAGTTCCTATCATTATCTGTTTGTTCTGGGTTCATTAATTTGTTGGTGTCTTAGCAGGAATGTTTTAGACGTGGGCTCTGGAGACCCAGCATCTTCCATGTTAAATCAGTATGAACTTGAGCAAGGTATTTAACTATTCTGAGCCTCTGTTTTTCTGTCTCAAAACAGGAGTGGGTGGTAGAGGTGCTTCTCTCATTTGGTTTGATGTGGACAAGCACTGAGTTAATGCCTGCTGAGTGTTTTCATAGATGGCACTGAGACAAGGTGCTGGCACATAGGACAAGGTTAGATGAGGATCTGGTTCAGCTAAGCATGACAGCAAACCAAAGTAGCAGTCTTATTAAGGTAGAAGTTTATTTCTTCCCACAAACCCATGGGCAGCCCATGGGTGACGGTCTGCACCCATCACATTGGTATGCAGTCTGCATCCATCACATTCCTCCCATCCTGTCGTTCGACACTTTCTCAGAGTGGGACCGCCACGGATGGGCCGAAGGGCCGTCAACTCCTGCCCCCCAGCTAGCAGGAAGGAAGAACGGCAAAGAGCAGGGCACACGCCCTCTCCAAGGACTCTCCTCGGAAGTATATGTGACACTTCTGCTTGCAGACCGTGGACCAGAACTGGATCACTCGGCCACATCTAGCTGTAAGGACAGGCCGGGCACAAAATCTTTGCTTTGAATAGGTATGACTCCAACTACAAAAAGAGGATGTCCATTATTACAGAACTGGACTAATCAGCTGGAACAGTACTGTCCTTCGGGGCAGGACAAATCTTTATTGGGTGAGACTATCTGCACGTTTCAGGACACTTACACCTCCAGGCCCCAGACACTCCCTACATGCCAGGAGGACCCGTTGTATCCACCCAATGCTCCCACACATTTACAGTTACACTTAGGAGGTAGCACGTCCTCAAAGCGGAGGTCGCTGTGGAGGGCATTTTCTCTGCCCAGTGCAGCAGCACACGCCCTGCGGGGAAGCCCTGCTTCCCACAGCCAGAGTTCAGACGGCCATCTGCTCATGAGGAGACGGGCCAGCCTCTGACTCAGGCCAGGCCACATAAACTCTTTCCCGGGGCTTTAAACAGTTGGATCTAGGGGGGAGTTTTTAATTTCCTCATGGGAGAGACATAAGATCTAGTGCTGTTTCTCTGCTATTGATGAGAATGCAAATGCTGCTGCTGCTTTGAAAAACAGTCTGGCAACTCTGCAAAAGGCTAAATATAGAGATACCATATGGCAAAGCAACTCCGCTCCTACTCATACACTCAGGAGAAATAAAAAAAACAAACCATGTTCACATAAGAAGTTGTCCATGAATACTTATAGCAGCATTCTTTATAATAGCCAAAGAGCGGAAACAGTCCGAGTGCCCCCGACTGCTAACTGGATGACCACAATGTGCTATATCCCTAACAGAATATTATTTGGCAATAAACAGGAACAGAGTACTGGTAAACACTACACCATAGATGAACCTTGAAAATACTGTGCTAGGTGAAAGAAGCCAGTCTCAAATGGCCATATATTACATGGTTCCATTTATCAATCTATGTAATGCACAGAATAAGCAAATCCATAGAGACAGGAATTAGATTACTGTTGCCTGGGGAGAGCGGCGAATAGGGAGAGACTGCTGATGACATGGGAAGACTGAATTCAATGACATGGCCAATGATGTAATCAATACCTCTGTAATACAACCTTGATTAAAACTCTATAAGGAGGCTCAGAGAGCGTCCTGGTTGGTGAACACGTCGGTGTACTGAGAGGGTGGCACATGCTCCAGGCCTTCTGCATTCCAGGCCTCGCCTTCCGTGGCACCCCCGTTTGGCTGTTCCTCACTTGTACCCTTTATAATAAAATAGGAATTAAAACTATAGTGGTGTATAGAGTTCTGCGAGTCACCTATTTGGTCTTGGAGTTGTTCAGTGCCCTGAGGAAGGTAGCATTGGCTAAGTCGGCCATTATCTAAAAAGTTGGAGCACACTACTGTGCAGGAAAGTACTTAGGACAAAAGTATCCAATCTTGAATACAGATAGAAGGTAGCAAGCAACAGTGCTACTTTGAAACACTTCTTAAAGTGAGAGATAAAGCATTGACATTTTTAGAGTTGAATTGTACTTTATAATATGAATGTTTACTAAGTGTGCTTTTCAAAAGATACTTTCTCTTATTGACCTTTTCAAAGATAATGAGGCTCTTTAACCCAAAACTATTCCGGGGTAGATATGCCTGTTGGTGAAAGGATTAAGTGAAAGGCTCTCTTTCAGCCATAGGATTATGTAAGTTTCCATTAGAAAACTATCTCCTTGGATTTTGAAACAAAACAGCTGCTGCTATCCAAATATGTATAAATGGTGGTATAAATGTAACACATTATATTCCTTTCAACGTATATTTTTATTACATTGATTCTTTTGGAAAAGTTGATTGTTTCCATACTTGCTCTGCACCCTCCTCTTCTCTTTGGTCTCCTCCTTTTGTACCTTCTGCTCACGGGGAGGAAGAAGGACCTTTTTGGAAATGTGTGTATACAGGGTAGAAATACTCCAGACTCTAAAGGGACAAGGAACAGTCCATTAGAAAAAAATCGCATCACTCCAAGAAGATGGGAATAAAGGCTGTTGCATTCTGATCTGTATGGCAGTGAATAGGAAAAGAAGGACCAGACTTTCAGACTCAGACAACGACAAAGCCTCAGAGCAATTCATGGGGCAGAATGTAAAATGCATATTTGGAAAATGAACATAAATAATGAGAGCATTTTTAAGGAACTGCAGAAATAATAAAGAAAATAACTGGTCAATATGTGTGGATATAGAATCTTCCTTATGAGGAATCATATCATATGTGTGACTGCTCTAATCATTAAATCAGAATCTCCACATAGAGCACAAATTCATAAGTTAAAATTGTATGTAGTCGTTTATTTTTTTACTATTGTTCAAGTATATTTGTTTCCATTTTCACCCCACCACAGCCCCCCGCCCCACCCACCCCCACCTTCCACCCTCAAACCCACCCCCTTTGTCTTTGTCCACGTGTCCTTCATACAAGTTTCTTGATGCCCAGTCCCCATTCTCCCCTATCATCCCTCTCCCTCCTCCTCTCTGGTTACTGTCAGACTGTTCTTTATTTCAATGTCTCTGGTTGTGTTTTGCTTGCTTGTTTTGTTTTGTTGATTAGGTTCCAGTTAAAGGTGAGATCATATGGTATTTGTCTTTCACTGCCTGGCTTATTTCACTTAGCATAATGCTCTCCAGTTCTATCCATACTGTTGCGAAGGGTAGGAGCTCCTTCTTTCTTCCTGCTATGTAGAATAAATTTATAAGAAAAGATTTGTTTCTCCCACAAAACATAAGCAACGGTTTTACTGTTATTTAAAATGAGAATATTTCACTAAATTAGTTCATCAAATCATGCCAAAAACTGGTGTAATGACTTTTTTCTCATTTTAAAAGATTGCAGTTACAGTATTATAATGGGTCTATATGAACTGTCTTTTGGGCTGGAAAAAAATGCCTTACATTAGATTCCTAATATTTTAAAACTACAGGAGTCTCTGTTAGTAGTACCTTGAGGAAATGGTAAACATGAATAAAATTATGCAGACAATTTTTAGTTTGCTAATTGAATAACACTTTAGTTCATCCAAAGTGGTTCCTAGAGACTATAACAAGTAGTTCATTTATTTTTAATTGCTAATCTAATTTCAGCTGTAACGCTTTTATTTAGGAAATGGCTTCACAGGAGAAAGCATTAGGCAGCAAGACAAGAAATAATCAAATATGTGATTATCCTTAAGATTCCATCAGGCACAGGGCCCATGATACTATTTAGAAGAAATGAGGCCATTCCAATAATTTTAACTTTCAAATCTAATATATACTGTATTTTTAATAAAAATAAATATGCACCTTTTTATTTAAAAAAAGTTAAATACATTTACTGAAAAGGCCGTGCACGGCTGTGGAAGATGCACCGTGTGCCGGAGCCTGTGGCGTTGTTTCTGGATGGAGCCACCCTGCACTGTAATGTCAGACTTGGAAGTTACCATGACGTTCCTTATTCTAGGGAACAGACTCAAGGCTCTCTGGTGCACTTCCTAGCTCCACATTTCTGTGATTAACTCCATAATCTTCAGGGTATGCCTGCAACAATACCATGTTTTAGGAGCAGTAATGAGCATGGGATTGCGGTCACACCAAATGGATCCCCAATCTGCCACTTACTTGCAGTGTTACCTTAGGCAAGTAACCTTTCTGAATTCCAGTTTATTCAACTTTAAAACAGGGTTAGTAGTACTACAGCAGACTGTGTTGATGGCCTGCCCCATAGCCCCTCTGACCACTGCCACTGCAGGGGACAGCTCCTGTACCATGCAGCTGCCCACCTCTGTGCCCACCTTTGCCTCTCTCACTGCTCCGGGCTGCTTCTGATTCACAGGGACTCTACAGCCAGAAATACTAGGGATTAATGTCCCCTAGTGCGGCCCTAACACGCCTCAGTGAGACAATTTGGAGGGACAGTAACACAGTTCCTCAGGGAGCCTCCCAGCTGGGTTGAGCCCCTCTCCTGCCCCCATTACCCAGAGTGGTAACCTGCTCTTTAATGAACCCTGGACTGGCTTTTCTCACCTGCCTGTCTCCCTTTGCCCACTACCTCATTTCTGCATCCTGTAATCATCTTCCATATAATCAACTGGCACACAACTTCCTGTCTTGGGTTTTGCTTTGTAAACCCCATCTCACAATTGTTGCGATGATTAAGAATGTGTGTAAAGCGCCTACCAGAGCCTATAGTAAGGCCCCAACAAATAGTAACTATTATATCTGACCATTGAAACAGGACGGCATTGTTCTAGGCAGTGTTTAGATTGTGTTTCTCCAGGTAAGTGATGTTTACATCCTGCTAAATCATATTTACATAATTTTATGAGGCATCTAAAATGCATAGAAAATGCTGTAAGTGGGGAAAATAAACAGAATAGAAAGAGGCTCAGAGATACAGAGAATATACTGATGTTTTCCAGGAGGAAGGGGGTTAGGAGACTGAGTGAAAAAAGGTGCAGGGATTAAGAAGTACAACTTGGTAGTTACAAAACAGTCACAGGGATGTACAGGAATATACATCATCCAGAACATAGTCAATAATATTGTAATAACTGCATTGTGCCAGGTGGTACCAGAAATATCAGGGGAACAGTTTGTAGACTATATATGATTGTCTAACCACTATGCTGGACCCCGGAAACTAATACAAAATTAAATGCAAACTGTAATTGAAAAATAAAGTTTTAATTAAAAAGTACTAGGCAGCCCTATAAAAAGAATGTAGACGATAACTATGCACTGTTATAAAAGGAGGTATAAATACATTGTCAAAGCAAGGTGTAGAATGATAAGCATAGTTATGTTTTTCTTTTTTGTAAAATATTGGGTAAGGCAGAAAATACATGTATCTGCTCAAAGTTGCTTAAGAAAACTCTGGATACACAAGACACTAATCTCTGGAGAAGGGGGGTGGGACTTATACAGATGGTGAATGGGATGGGAGACTATTCTATATCATTTTATATTATTTTATTTTTTAACCATGTAACTATGTTACTTCTGAGACTGCTGATCTCCCACCAGTATCCATTTTTTATTTATTCCTTACACATATAGAGTCCACCCCCCTTTTTATGGGGTATTTTAGTGCCATATAAGAGATTACATATTCTAGCCTCCCCTGCAGCTAAGTTGGTTCATGGGACTGAGTTTTTGCAATGGCTCGTGAGCAGAGGTACAGGTGCTGTGCCTGTGTCACACCCTTAAAAGGAAAGTGGTTTTCTACTTCCTCTTCTTCACCCTTCCCATGGGTGAGAGGACCAGGGGTACTCAACCTTTTGGTGTCTCTGGGCCTCAATGGAAGAAGAAGAGTTGTCTTGGGCCACACATTAAATACACAAACACTAACTAAAACTGATGAGCAAAGAAAGGTTTTTAAGTAAATTTAGGATTTTGTGTCTGGCTGCATTCATAACCGTCCTGGGCCGTGGGCTGGACACCCCTGGGCAGTGTTGGCAGGCCAGCTCTGATCACAGTAGGTGGAGTAACAAGCAGAAGTTGATGGAGCAACAAATTAGCAATGAGGAATGTAAATTCCTGGATAACCACAAGAAGTTTAGCAGCCAGCCCTCTCTGGACTGCTCACCACCTCCTAGGCTATTTCATGAGAGAGAAATAAACATCTATCTTATTTTGGCCACTGAGTTTTGGGTTATCTCCATTCCAGCAAGATAGCCCATATCCAAATACAGGGTCCGGCACAAATAATCCCTGCTTAAGTGTGGTTGGTAGGGTAATAATATGGATGTAATAATTTATACTTTTAATTTGAACATTTCACCTAAAATGGCATATGGTGTGCTTGAGTGTGATATTGTTATGCTACGGAACAATTACATGTTTATGACTTGGTAATAAAAGATTTAGTATAGATTACCAGCTCATAGACAAGGGGTGTTATTTGTGCTGGACCCTGTACCTCAAGTTTAAAAACTGTAGAATGTGTGACATTGGCAGTGCAGGGAAGCGCACCCAACTGTTCTAACTCCCAGCCCATGTTTTTCACTGTAAACGATTCAGGAGGCAGCCTTGCAATGACCAGTTCTGTTCTCTTCCAAAATCTATCATACCAACCAACCAGTGTCCACTTCTGTTGATCCAGGTAAAATCAAATGAAAGAGAACAAACTGGAGATATAGTGCTAGTGACTTTTGAAATCTCAGGCTGGGAAAGGAGGATTAATGGCAAAGCAAATTGAACTAGGAAAAACTAACAAAAGGAGATGAAATCAATCCAATAGCTATTAGTAGATAAAATAGAAAGGAACTTACGACTGAAATAAATAAAGGATGTTTTAGCTCATTCAAATGGAACAAGTCTTCAAGAAGGAAGATGAGGTGCAGAGCAACTCCATAAAGGTATTCAGCTGCTGGGAACTGGTGATGGCAGAATGGGGGACAGGGAATGGGCTGAGACAAAAGATGAGTATATACAAGTCATATTGCTGTCAGAATATACAGGTATGGATGTATCATTCCCTTCTCGGCCAGTGGCAGTATCTAGGGGGATTTCAACAACATAAATTTCTGTGCTTACAAAAAGAAATAGAACGGACACCACAGTGACTGGCCACAGGGAAAAATGAATCATCTGAGAACTACAGATGCCAGAATTAGGGGTCTGACCCAGCTCCAGGACTGGCTGCCAAGGAGAGTGACCAGCAGGCCAAGTCATCATACTCCAGGGAGCACGTCATTTCCCAGGATGCGAGTTAATGAGATTAGATTGTAAAAGAGTGTGTATTAAAGAGTAGCAAAAGCCTACAAGGACTGATACTTACTTTAGGCTTAGATAGTTCTCGCTTTGAAAAAGAATACTCAGGAATTTTCAAAATTCGGTTTTTGTTTTTCAAATAATACTTGCCACAAGAGGTTGAACAAGAAAGGATGAAAGCCACTGCTTGGTGCTGATATCATGTTACAAAATGAGAGAGAGAGAGAGAGAGAGAGAGGAGAGAAAACTCAACTTTTATTTTGTCTCCTCTCTGAAGGAGAATGATTTTTTAATGAAAAAATATAGAATAAACATGACTAAAAGAAGTAATAGTAGTTATTTACATATAAACTACATTTAAAAGTAGGTACAACCAAAAAGGCTATTGTAAAATAAGAAATCTATTGTAGTAAATGAGCAACCAATTTTTTAAATTTTATTTTAGAGAGAGGGTAAGGGAGGGAGAGAACATTGATGGGAGAGAAAGTGTTGCTGGCTGACTTCCTCCGTAGGCTTCCGGAACCCTGACCAGGGACGGAATCGGCAACCCCTGCACGTCCCCTGACCAGGAATCCCACCAGCAACCTTTCACTTTGCTGGACAATGTCCAACCAACTGAAGCCAATTGCTTTAAGTCAGTTAAACTTACCAGGCCTAAGTGAAAGTCTTTGCATAAGTGATTGTAGAATCAATATTAGTTGGTTTTGGAAAGCCAGGGAAAAATAATGCCAAAAAAAATTGAAGAGGGGCAAATATTGTCCTGATTTACAAAGAGAACAAAAAGTGGTGGAAACAGGGGAGCTAGAGAATTATTGGTAAATTTAACAATTTCTAGAATAAATTTTTAAATGTTTTAACAATAGGCAAGGAGATTGAGCTCGTGATGACAATTTTGGTTAATTTTTTTGGTTTTTGTGGATATCTATCCAGGTCTCAGAGGACGAGAGCATTTACTGCACATGTTTCAGATGGAGAAACGTAAATAAGAGGAGGACGTCAGAGCTGGAAGCCCTTGCTCATCTAGTGTGATCGCCAGACCAGCAGTATCAGTATCACCTGGGAGTCTGATGGAAATGGATGCTCTCAGGCCCAAGACCTGCTGATTTACAACCTGCATTTTCAACAGGATTCCCAAGTGATTCATATGTACTCAAACTTGAGAAGCACTGAAGCAGGCAAAGTGAGAAGAACATATGAGACACAAGGGACCCAAAGACTAACAACATGAAGAGATCACTCCCACTCCCAGGGCTGTAGGAACAAAGGGAGGAAATTATGAGACTGGAACCACTGGATATATTAAAAATCATCAACTTCTACACTTTAAATGGGTGAATTATATGGTATATTATATTATACCATATAATTATATCTCAATAAAACTATGAGGAAAGGAAAAACACACACAAAAATGCATGCAAAATCTGTCTGTTGAAATCTCCAAAGTATTAAAGAAAGAAAGCAATGGAAATAAATGGAGTAATATGCCATGTTCATGGATTGGATTCAATGATGTTAAGATGTTAATTCTCCCCAGTGACTCTATAGGTTTAGTGGGATCCCAATTAAATTCCACCATTTTTTGGTAGACTTTTGTAACTTATAAAATTTACATGAAAGGCAAAGAAACTAGATTATCCACAATAATTTTTAAAAGATTTTATTTACTTATTTATTTATTTTTAGACAAAGGGTAAGGGAAGGAGAGAGGGAAAGAAACATGGATGTGTGGTTGCTTCTTGCACACCCCCTACTGGGAACCTGGCCTGCAACCCAGACATGTGCCCTGACTGGGAATGGAACCAGAGATCCTTTGGTTCACAGGCTGACACTCAATCCACTGAACCAGACCAGCCAGAGCATTAGCCACAATAATTTTGAAAGAGAACAGAGTAGGAGAATTGAGTTCCTCTTATTTGAAGACTATAAAGCTACCGGAAGCAAGGCTGTGTGGTATTGACAAAAGAATAGACACATTAGTTAGTAATTATACAAAAGAAAGAGTTCAGAAAAGGCATGCACATATGGTTCAATTGACTTTTGACAAAGGTACGAAGGCAAATTCAGTGGAGAAAGTTTAGTCTTTTCAACATGTGATGCTGAAAAAATTGTCTATGTGAGAAAACTAACATCAATCTTTATCTAAGACCACATACAAAAGTTAAATCAAAATGGATTGTACACCTAAGTGTAAAAACTAAAACTATGAAAACCTCTAGAAGAAAAAGAGAAATTTGGCAGAGATTTTAAAAAATAGACACCCAAAGCACAATCCATAAAAGAAAAAATCAATAAATTATACTCCATGAAATTAAATTTCTGCTCTTTTAAAAGATTTTATTAAGGAAATAAAATGGCAAGCCTTAGAGAGAAATATTTTAAGTGTATCTGATAAATTACTATATCCAGCACCTACACATATAAGTAATAAGAAAACAACCCAATTAAAAACAGGCAAAAGACACATAATCAAAGAAGATATATGGTGGGCAGAAAGGCAAATGAAAAGATGCTCAACATCATTAGTTATTGGAGAAATGAAAGTTAAAATAACATTGAGGCACTACTGCAAAACTGTGAGAAGGACTAAAAATTTGAAAGCCAAGTATGTCTACTTCTGGTGGAGAGCAGAGCAACTGGGCCCCTATATATCGCAATACGTTTTAGAACATTTTTATCATTTGAAAAATAAATCCTATACTCCCCAGCTGTCATCCCCTTGAGTACTGAGCAACTGCCAATGCAGTTTCTGTCTCTATAGATTTGCTTATTTTAGACATGTAAATGAAATGATGTAAGTGGTCTTTTTGTAACTAGCTTCTTTCACATAGCATGATGTTTAAACAATGTATCTATGCTGAACCATTAGTCAGTACTTAACTACTCTTTATGATCAAATAATACTTCATTAAATGGCTATACCATATTTTGTTTATCTATCAGTTGATGGACATTTGGATTGTTTTCACCTTTTGGCTACTGCGAATAATGAATATTCATGTATAAGTGTTTGTATGGACATATATTTTCGTTTCTCTTGGGTATATAACTAGAAGTAATGACTTTGTAGAGTCATTGGTAACTCTACATTTAACCTTTTGAGGAACTGCCAAACTATGTTCCAGATTGGCTGTACTGTTTGACACTCACCAAGAGTATACGAGGGATCTAATTTCTCCACATTATAAGTGACACTTTTTATCCTGTGTTTTTTATTACATTCATCTGCGTGGGTTTAAAGGGGTATCTCCTAATGATGCCAGGAATCTTTTCGTAGGCTTGTTGCCATTTGTTTATCTTCTTTGGAGAAATGTTTCTTCAAATTTTTTAATCATTTAAAAATTGGGGTGTCTTGTATTATGAGTTGTAGAAGTTCTTTACATATTCTAGATATGTCCTTTATCAGATATTGAGTTTGCAAATATTTTCTACTGTATAGGTTGCCATTTCATTTTATTGACAGTGTTCTTTGAAGCATATGAATTTTTAATTTTGACGAAGTCTAATTTATCTATTTTTTTTCTCTTGTTACTTGTACTTTTGGTGTCACATCTAAGAATTCATTGCCAAATCTAAGATCAAGAACATTAATCTATATTTTTTCTTCTATGAGTTTTATAGTTTTAGCCAATACATTTAGGACTTTGATACATTTTAAAATAATTTTTGTACATGGTGTAAGGGTCTGGATTTGTTCTATTGCATCTGCCTGTACAGTTGTCTCAAAATCACTTGTTGAAAAAATTATTATTTCTCCATAACAGCCTTGGCAAAGTGAGTTGACCACAGACAACCAATAGGTTTATTTCTGGTCTGCATACTCTATTCCATTGATCTTTATTTATGTCGGTACCATACTGTCTTGATTACTGTTGCTTTGCAGTAAAATTTGAAATCTGGAAGTGAGAATCCTTCAAATGTTAGCTATTCTGGGTCCCCAAATATAAATTTTAGAGTTGAATTGTCAATTTTTACAAATAAGCCAGCTAAGATTCTAATAGGGATTGTAATGATCTTTAAATCAATTTGAGAAGGATCGACATGGTAACAATATTAAATCTTCCAATTCATGAACACAAGATGTTTTTCCATTTACATAGATTTAAAAAATTTTCTTTTGATAATATTTTTGAGTGTAAGTTTTATGCTCATTATATTTATTCCTTAGAATTTTATTCTTTTTGATGCTATTGTAACATTGTTTTTCTAATTTCATATTCAAATTGTTCATTGTGATTGTGTAGAAATACAACTGATTTTTGTATATTAATCTTATATTGATACAGCCTTGTTGAGCTCCTTTATTCATTCTAATGATTCTTTAATGGATTTGGGGGATTTTCTAGGTACACATTCATGTCATCTGTGAACTAAGATAGTTTTAGAATACATGAATTTTAGAATCAAATTAGAATGAATGAATCCCCATCCTCCTTTAAAAATGGACTTTTCCCAGTCCATTTAGATGTTTTAAAACGTTGGGACACTTTTACATACATAGGGTTGCTGGAGGGGTTCAGGATTTGCTGTTGCGTATGTTGTCTAAAACAAAGGTGGCAACAGCTTGTAACTTACTCCTTGTCTTTAAAGTGTCCCTTTCCATTCATCATTTTTACTGGCATCAGGTGATCTTGTGTTAGATTTGGTTCTGTGCAGGCCACAGAAAGAAACTCTAGATAATTTAAGCTAAAAATATACATTACAGAATGCATAAACTCTAACTATTTATGCTAGTTTTGTGTCACTTAAGGTTCAAACTTAGCAGTGTCTGATTGGGCAAGCTTAGATCACATGCTCTCTTGGATGTATTTTGGTGGTAAAACGAAGGATCTGATGAAAAGCAACTTTAGGAACTTCTTTTGTAGAGGCATTTACTTTCCTCCAAGGTGGACACATTCATTGGGAAATTTTCTCCAATACATTGAGGTTTCATTTAAAAGGGAATAGATCCTGTATTACTAAAAATGTCAAATATTCACTAGAGATCTTGTCCAAAATGCAAACATGTCACTTCTTTGTTTGACTTCTTTGACTCTTCATTTCCCACAGAATGAAGTTATAAACTCTTAGCATGACAAAAAGGTTTTTCTAGCCTTGTCTCTAGCCTCATTTCTATTCCAGTGCAGCTCAACATTCATTGAGTATATCAAACTTCGTGCTGTAAGCTGAAACACACAGGAACACTCTTGCCTTGAGATACTCAAAGCCTCGTAAAGGATGTATATTAGTACAATCACCTGTCAACTGTCCAACTTGTCTTGTAATAATAGCTATGGTGACTGTAGGTCCTGGTTTTTGCCTATTGTCTTAGTATGCCAGCCCTCTTTTTTCAATCTCAAAAGTCTTTAAATTTATATAGTAATAGCATACCTATGACTTTTCAATTAACTTTGAGCAAAACAATTCTGTGAAGGACTGAATCTGTTAAGATCCTAGCAGGAATGAGATGGTAATTTCCCAACGGATAATTTGAGTAGAGTTTAATAAAAAAAATTATCTGCAAGGGTGTGGGATAAATGTAGAGACCACAAGGAGTTTACCCTGGGTTGTCCTAAAACAGAACTGTGACCTTTGGCTGAGGAATGCAGCCACCAAGCTGGGGTGCCCCAGGGAGGGAGCCTGGGGCAGAAACGCCAGCACTCCTTTCTTTGTTGTACTGTGGTTGCTCACTGTTGCCCGCACTCACATGGAAGCTGATGGAAAGAGAGCCCTTTGAGATCAAGCTCCTGAGGCAAGAAAAGATGAAGAGTGGATCTGACAAACATGTCCTCCAACAGGACTCGCTGTTACTACCCTATTTTACAATAGAAAAAGATGAGATGAAGAAAGGCTCAGTTGCTCTAAGTCACATCGGTGATAAGTAACAATCTGGAGCTGAAGTGCCCTGTTCTCCCACCAAGAGAACTCCACGGCTCCCACTCCAGGGATGCTAGAATACCTGTCCTTCTGACAGCATCACCGCCCTTGAAACAGCTGAATCTTCGTTCATCCTACATTCCCTTGTTCGGAATGTCCTTTTTGCTCTCTTCCCTGACCCACCTCCCTGGTGAAGCATTTCCTATTCTGACAGGAAAAGTGAATAGCTCTCTTGTACTGTGCTTCAAAGTCCCTTAATTCATGTGTCTCTTCTAGGACTTGGATTATTTCTCAGCATTGTTTAAGGATCTGTCTCTTGGCAGACTGTGCACTGATTAAGAGTTGAAGAAGCAACCTCCTTTAAAAATGTTCAGTTCCTAGCACAGTGCTGGGCTGAGTTAAAAAGGTAATCTAATCCCTTAGCAACTATTATTAAACCGACTTTAAAGATGAAAACTTGAAGCATGGAAAGGTTAAGTAATTTACCCAAGGCCACATAGCTGTGAAGTGGGTGGGAAAGCTGTCTGCAGAATGATAGTTAAATAACTTTAAAATGAACCTGACCTTCTGAGATGTCAGAAGGCCCTTTCTTGGCCCATAGTAATTAAATGGTATTTTTATTAAATATGTTTATGCCTACCCTCACAAAAATGTCAAGGAGGTGGGAATTTAAGGCATTGCTCCTAGTCAATGAAAATTTTAGGCAGAAGCTGGGTAAACTGTAATGATTTTGTCTTAAGAGTTTCTTCAAACAGTTGAGATCTTGGAATAAGTGACATTAAGCTTTTGTGATGAGAATAAACTAACCTACCCACAAAGGTAGGGAATTCATACTCTTAGAATCTAATCAGCCGTTTTCAACATAAGCATTTACAAAGTAAATTGAAGTAAAAGTTAATTGATTGCCCTAACTGGTGTGGCTCAGTGGATTGCATGCTGGCCTGCCAATGGAAAGGTTGCTGGTTCGATTCCGGGTGGGAGCACATGCCTGGGCTGCCCGCCAGGTCCCAGTTTGGGGACATGCCAGCGGCAACGGATTGATGTTTCTCTTCCTCCCTTTCCCTCTCTCTCCAAATATTTAAATAAATAAAATCTTTAAAGAAAAAGAACATGGGCTCTGGGGGTCAGAGCGACATGTACTCTAACCCCTGCCAACCACATTATTAGCTGGGTGACCTTGAGCAAGTTATTTTTTCAAAAAATTGATTAAATCCTACCGTCTGGCCTGGTCAACATAACAGAACAGAGAGCTGGTGTGCAATGGTCCCTCCATCCGGTTAGCAGCCTGTGGAGCTGTCTTTCCACAGGGTTTCCCAGAGACCCCTCCCTACGGGAGGAGGAACAACATGTCTGTATACAGAAAGCAGCAGACGGAAGTACTTCTCTTCCCCCGCCTTTTGCATTGCACCATCCAGGTGGTAATCTTAATTCAACACTTAACTGAGCCCTTACTGTATGCTTGACACAAAATGGTAAGCCACGTCTTCAAAAGATTTTAAGATGAGGGGGCAAAAATTGGACAAACCTGAAGAGGCTACTTAACTGTCTGTAAGTCTGGGCCCACCCACGGACTGAAACGGTCCCTATTCAGAGCCTCTCATCTTTCTTTCGCTGAGAGTACTTTCATCATACTCCCGTCCCTGAGGGTTCCACCTGCATCCTGCCGGTGGAATTCAGCCTGGGTGGCCAGGATGGAGCCCTTGGACCCCTCTGGGGCAATCCAGCTTCTGCCCCACAGCAGCTGAACCCCCGTCCGGAGACCACTCACCCCAACGTGGGCGGCACTTTCGAACCGGGCTCCCCACCCCGCGACTGCCCTCCCTTCCCTGCCAGAGATGGCAGGAAAGGCACCCGCAAGGCTCCAGAGAAACCAGGTTGCTGGAAGTCTCAGATCGGACTCGGAGGCGCCCGGTCTAAAGAGACATTTGTCTTTGACCTAATTCAGTAGGTCCTGTTTTTCCCTCAGGGTGCAATCCCGTGGGCTGGTCACAGCCCTTCACCGCCTCCTCTCACCCCTGCCCTTCCATCCCACAACTAGGTTCTCTTCCCGGACCGGACGCTGTCCTCAACCACCTGGTGGCGGCCGGGCCCCTCTCCCGCCCTGCGGGGAGCTGCGGAATCCACAGCAACTCCTCGCTGTCCGGCCTTCGCCTGGGCGCCGCACCGCCCGCGCGCAACGGGACTCTGCCATTGCGCCCCGCACACGGTCGCGCCGTTCCGCCGCGGGGGCTGTGGGAAAAATCCTTCCCTCCCGCGGAGCAGCTGCCAAGTCCCGCAGTCGCCCGCCTGGCGCCGCCGCCGCGGAGCCCCCTAGGCGCAACCCCCGCGCGCGCCTCCAGGTCCCTGGGTCGGTCTCTGGCTGCAAAATAAAGTCGTTTGAGCCCCCACGTGTGACCGGCGGGCCCTTGCTACACCCGGGAAGGCCTCGGCCCCTACGCTCCGGGCCAGTCCACAGCTGCGCTCGTTCTCCCCCGGGGAAGTCCGCTTGTTTCGCTCAAGCAGGAGGGGGTTGGTCGTCCACATCAGCATCTGCTACGTCCCCACTACGGTCCCCTACCCGGCCGAACGCTCAGTGACAGCTTCCAGCTGCCTCTGTTTAAGTATCTGCTTTACGAATAGACTTCTGAAGGAGCAACTCTTCCTTTGCGGGGTTCTGCCCAGCCCCACCGCGGTCCCCCACGGATCTCCCTGGTGGCCCACACACCCGTCCAAGACCGTTCCTCCAGGTGGGGCGTGCCTCCCGGGGCTAACTCTCCGCGAGACGCTGTCCCCACGGACCTGCTTGCCCAGCACCCCTCGCCGCTCTCCGCAGCGGCTCCAGCTGCCCGCTCCGCGTAGCGCGCGGCAAAGCCCGGGGCAGGGACCACGGCGCCCGAGCTTTCACTAGGGCTCCGGCACGTGGGGCAGCTGGGGGTGGTGGCTAGCGCACCGGCCGGGGGGCCTTTCCGTGCCGCCGGAGAGGGTCGCTTCCGGGCCCACGGTTACATTCCGGGAGCGAAAGCCTCGCTGTCTGCGCCTGCTGACCCGGGCTAGAGGCCCGCCCACCACCCTCCCTCCAACCGCCTCGGCCTCGGCGCGCAGGCTTACACCCCTTTCTGGGGAAGCAAATGGTCCCTTCCAGGCGGGTGGCCATGTTGCTCTAATAAAGCAGGAGGGGCAGCCGCGCGGGGGGAGCAGATGCCGCCGGCTGCGCGCGGAATCCGGGCGCCAGCAGAGCGCAGCCGCGAAGGAGGCGCGGGGGAGGCGAGCGGGAGCCGGAGCAGCAGTCGGTGTTGGCGGAGAGCACCCGGGCGCAGTCGGAGCCAGAGAAGCAGCTGCGATGGCCGTGGCCGTGGGGAGACCGTCTGTAAGTGCCGGGGCCTCCGTTCCCGAGCCCGCTGCTCCTCCGGCGCTGGGTGGTCCCCGCTCTGGGGAGGGTGCCGGCGGGAATACCGGGAGCCCGGGCGGGGGCTAGGGACGGCGAAGGCGGCGGCCGTGGGTGTGTGCATGAATTTGGGCGCGCGTCTGGGGCTGAGAGGGGGGCGAGGAGCCCCGAGGCTTGGCTGCTGCGTGATGTAACAGTGCATCGCCTCGTGCGCCCCGATTCCCGGGATATGGGAGGAAAAAGACCTCTTTCCTATTTTCCATTTAGAAAGATTCTTTTAGCCAAGGTGTTTCTCGGCTGTTTCACTCTTTGCGCGCACACCTTTTTCCTCGTGACAGTCGAGAAAGGTGCCGGGTGAGGGGGTTTCCTCCCGGCTCCCCGGCACAGAGGGGCGACCGGGCTTGGGAACTGTTAGCCGAAGCGTGTCATTCGGTCGTAGATGGGTCAACAATAAAGGGATGGGATTTCCGTGGTGCTTTCCCCAGTGCATTGTGAAGCCCGGACACCCCTAGGCATCCACCCGGGTGCCCCGGCCCTGCCCAGGATGTGGACAAAAGCCCTACACACACACACGCACGCACACACACACACACGCACACACACACACAAAGTTTTCAAAAGGCCCCCTTGTCGGGGTGGGTGGAGGTATTAAAATACTGTGCGGATTGAAGGATGGGGGCGGCGGGCGGAGGAGGCGGGGACGCGAGGAAGAGGAAGGGAGGGCGCCTGGAGAATACGCTGCCCCTGGCCCGGAGCGTGGGAGGAAGGGGGTGGGATGCTCCAAGCCCCGCGTTTGCGGGCGGGGCACCGGCAGCGACTCCCGGGGTGCGCGGCTAGGGCCCGGCGGGTCTTGGAGGGTGTGGTTTCAGTCCGCGCTCCGCATCCCTGGTTGAAAGGCAGAGGGAAGGGGCCTCGGCGGCCTTTCCTTTTTAGTGAAGGGAGTAGAACCGGGTGGGAAAGGCGGAGCCCTCTTTCTTTTTGCCCATTTCTTTGTCGATGTTCAAATTCCACTTTCGCCCCACTGGCTTTGGGGGCGCTTCGCTTGAGAATTTTCCTGCTCTACCCCCTGCCTTTCCTTTGCCTTTTCTTCTACCGGTAACTGTGTAGCCGCAGGTGGTGGCTTCAGAGATTCTGTAGATATAGACAGAAGTCCTTCGGAGATACAGGAAGCTCTGAGCCCCCAGAAATGCAAGCTTTGCGCTCAGACTCCGGGCGCGTCCTCCTAAATCCCGTGCAGACACACACGCGCCCCTGCCTCCACCCACCGTCCTCCGTGTGTCCAGGAAGTTCGCGGGATTCCTCTGGGTGTTCTAACTCAGTCTGGTGATTCTTCTGCCGAGGTGTTTTCAAAGATGTCCTCCGTGGTCAGAAAATGTTCAATGGTCATATTGAAGTGTAACTGTGGGTAGTTCAGGCATTTTAAATTCTAATAGTTAATGACATGCTCTTAAGAATTCAGATCTCCTGTTGCACACAAATTGTGCTTCTGATAATTAGTGGTCAGAGATTGCTGTTATTAAGGGAATTGGTAGTCTCTGGGCTCATCTTTTTCTGTGTGTGTGGTGTGTGTGAAAACCGAGGTCCAGAGAGGTCAAGTTTGTCTGGCTAAATTACTCCCTCCCCCACTATACTTACTTTCAAAGCACAGATTCAGATAAATAACACAACATCTCGATCAGATAACTGGGGAGCATCTGGGAACGCAAATGTTATGTAGTGGGGCGGGGGTGTCCTTTTCAGTGATTCCTATCGCTGGCGCATTCTTGAGGCCTGGGGAAGTGGAAGAAATAATTTGCTGCACATTTTCTCTAAATTAGCTGGTTCGTATCTGTCAGTTAAATAGGAACAGTATGTGGATTTAAGATTTAGTTGTGTGGCCATAATCATATCCAACACCAGGTCTGCCAACCAGATGTGAGCTTAATCCTGCAGAATTCTTGTGGACGACCTCGCTCATTCAAATAATAGAGATATTTAAAAGTGTGTGCACAGAGGAGGTCACTGCTTTCTCTGCACATTCCCTGCTGTCACTGGAATTAAGATTAAATTACTTACGGTTTAGAAACAGAAGACTTCTTTCTTCGAGTTGTGGTATGGGCGATCAGGAGTTGACTACAAAGTTGAAGCCTTTTCGTACATTTCCAAGGAATTGTCGAGCTGTTTCACGTTGGTGTTCAAGCCGTAAATGCCTCCAGTGTGGTGTCTGCAGTTTGTCCTCCAAACAAGCCCAGTGCGTGCAGATTTTCCAAACACAGCTCCAACGGGCCCACGCCGCATCCTTCTGGTTGGAATTCTCTGCCCCTTCTGTGCCCTGAGCTATTCTATGATGAAAGCAGAAGAGTGTGGGGAGAAAAGAATCACTCATGAAGTTGATCTGTGTTTGAGAGTTTCTCTAGTTACATCTTCAGAATTACATTTTTTACAGAAAGTTGTTTAAGAAAACATGAGCATATCTCCTTGCCCTACAAAGTCCCCCCCATACAGATTGAAGGAAAGATTGATCAGAATAATTTGCCCATAATTTAAGACATTCTGGTTTTTTTAAATTTATGTATTGATTTTAGAGAGAGAGAGAGACGGAAAAGCATTGAGTTGTTGTTCCACCCATTTATGCATTCCTTGGTTACTTTTTGTTTGATCCCTGACTGGGATCACGCAGCAACTTCGGGGAGTGGGGAGGATGCGCTCACCAACTGAGATACAGCTAATTTTAGACGTTCTTGAATTTGAACATTTTAGTGTGATATCCCAGGTAAACATAACTTTTTACTAGGCAAAAAATTCTTATACAATAAATGCAATGATTTCTGTCTTATGAAGTGGTTAGAGTAGTCTCCCCTTGTCCACAGTTTTGGTTTTCGAGGTTTAAGTTACCCATGGTCCTCCTCGGTCCAGAAATATTAAGTGAAAAATTCCAGAAATAAGCAATTCGTAGGTTTCAAATTGCCCGCCATTCTGAATAGCATGATGATGAGCCATTTGCTCAGTCCAGCCACAGGATGTGAATCACCCCTCTGCCCCACTCCGTCCCATGGATCCTGGCTGTGTGTGCTGCTGCCCCTTAGTCACTTAGTAGCCATTTGGATTATCAGGCTGATGTGCCGCAGTGCTTGTGTTCAACTCACCCTTATTTCACTTAACAGTGGCCCCAAGGCACAAGAGCAGTGATGCTGGCAACTCAGATATGCCAGAGAGAAGTGGTAAAGCGCTTCCATTCAGTGAGAGGGTAGAAGTTTTTCATAGGAAAAATAAAAAATTTCCTGTGCTGATGTTGCTAAGATCCACCGTAAGAACGAATCTTCTACCCACGAAATTGTGAAGATGGAAAAAGAAATTCATGCTCAGTGATTGCATTTATGTAACTTTTATTACAGTATACTGCTATAATTGTTCTGTGTTATTATTCATTATTGTTGTTAATCTCTTACTGTGCCTAATTTGCAAATTTACCTTTATCGCAAGTGTGAATGTACTGGTTGCAGTTTCAGGCAGTTACTGGGGATCTTGAAGCACAACCCCCCAGATAAGGGGGGGAACGACTCTGTATTTAGTTATAACCATTCAAACCTCTATGCTAAATTCAGATGTTTCTTAAGTGGATTTGTTCTTCGCTAGAAAACAAAAAGTCCAGTTTTTAGTGTGATGCTGTTTATTTCTGTTTTAATCTTATCCCCTGGCTTCTCCACTTTCCCACGGACAGTTTTGGAGCTTGGCTCCGAGGAGACCCAGACGCACACCTGTGGTTTCTACAGCACAACTGAGGGTTAGCGAGTGCGCTTCTCCCCAGGGGATGTGTCCATGTTTTGGATGAGTTAATACTTTTGCATCCAAGTCCCAGGACGGCTATTGTTTTCCTTTTAAACAGAGCACGGTAATTTACTGCACCTGAGAATCAGGCTTTTTGTGGCTGATCTGCTCCCTGATCCGCTGGCTCTTACGCCGTGGTGTTCATCCAGCTGTAGAGTCTCGAGTTGATAGTCTAGAGGTCCTTTGGTTCGGCCTCCTCCCTCCTGCAGAAATGTTTATCCCTGGCAGCAGGTATGCGTTTACACTTTTCCACTGGTGGGCATTCCCTATGATACCCTTCAAGAAACATGTTGAATTGTTTTTTTCTATCTGTTGAGCAAAAAGAAATGGAAAACTGTGTTCATTCATTTGCTCACTTAACACTATTTATTGAGCACCTCTCATGTGCTGGGTGCTGAGGACACATCAGTGGACGAGAGAGAAATTCCCTTCTTACCTGAGCTGTCATCTTCTGCGATACTTAGTGCCTCTGTGTGTTAGTGACAGACTTCAGTGGAAGCGGTAAGTCATGTGGGGAGAAGGACACCACGTGCAAGTTGCTGAGTCAGCAGTGGTGAGGCAGACAAAGGGGCCTGTCTGTCTGAGGGTCCTCACCTGCACTTCCGGTAGGTCTGTCTCAGCAGGAGGAGGGCGGGGACTGCCAATGAAATGTTATTTTCTCGAGTCGTAAAAGTGCCATTTTGAGACTTAAGGATGTCAACCCACATGGAGGGCTGTGGCTGTTGCAACTGGAGAGAGATTAATGGAGCTGAAAAAAGTCCAGGGAATGGACGTCCAGTTATAAGGGGGCTGTCATTCAGGAGGAGGTTTTTAAAAATTAAAC